TGGCTCGCGGCCGGCCTCGGGCCGGACGCGCCGCCAGCTGGGCGGTCACGGCCGGTGCACGGACCCCGAGCCCAGCCCGTGGGACGGGGCCGGCGGCGGCGCGGCCGTGCCGAGCCTGCGCCAGGGCATACGCTGGGAGGTAACGTCCGAGCCGGAATCCCCTGCGGCGTAATGCAGGTGGCGACGGTGTTCCGCTGTTATGTGTCTCTGGTGTGGTAGCCCTGAGCCCCCGAAAGAGAGCTGCTTGGACTGGTTGAGTCGAGGCAAACTCAGTAAAGCCAGCCCACGTGGGGTCTCTTTCCTCCCCGAGCTGCGTACCTCCGCATCCTGAGCCAAAATGCGCGTACGCCCGGGCTGTAGTATCTCGAAATCGGCGGCACACTCTCCGTATGTCGCAACTTGTCTTTTTCGTAAGGCTCGCGTGCCCTGCGCAGCGACTTGAGCTTACAGTTCGCAGGAACTCGACGGCGCTCAGGAGGATTTACCGTGCATTTAGGTGTCAGCGCAACACCCGGTTTATGACGGATAACAACTGTCTGGGCGGGCGCATGGTAACGGTCATTTGATGCAGCTGCAAGTCAGACGCCATGCCGTTAGAAAGGTCAGACTTGCTCAGGCTGTCAGACGTCAGACGCCATGCCGTTAGAAAGGTCAGACTTGCTCAGGCAATCAGACGTCAGACGCCATGCCGTTAGAAAGGTCAGACTTGCTCAGGCTATCAGACGCCAGACGCCATGCCGCTAGAAAGGTCAGACTTGCTCAGGCTTTCAGACGTCAGACGCCATGCCGTTAGAAAGGTCAGACTTGCTCAGGCTATCAGACGTCAGACACCACCAGACGCCGTTAGAAAGGTCATACTTGCCCAGGCTATCAGACGTCAGACGCCAGTGCCGTTAGAAAGGTCAGACTTGCTCAGGCTATGAGACGCAGTTCAGGGGGCGAATAGAAACGCTGATGCCAGAAAGTGCCAACTAAAGTACGCATGACTGCTTGCTCTGGTCGTACGCGGATGGATTGTTGGTCGCGGGTATCATATGTTGGGCCGTATTCGGCTACGGCCTGGTCCGCGTGATACCTCGCAGACAGTGCGAGGCGGCGGGCAGTGGTCAGAGCAGCCCTGCTCCCTCTCTCTCTTGGTTTCTCGTCATGGACCGTGAGCAGCACAGTAAACACCGGGGAAAGCTCCCCACCTCGATCAGCACCCGTGAACTATCTTTCCCATGGTCGTGCCAACCGGGCCATGTCCGCTCCGCCCGTCATCTCCCGGCCGTGCCTTGTGGGTGCATGCTGTGTCTACCCCGCCCGTCGTCTCCCGGCCGTGCCTTGTGGGTGCATGCTGTGTCTACCCCGCCCGCCGTCTCCCGGCCGTGCCGTGTGGATGACTGTTGTGTCCACTCGCCCGTCGTCTCCCGGCCGTGCTGTGTGGATGACTGTTGTGTCCACTCGCCCGTCGTCTCCCGGCCGTGCTGTGTTGATGGCTGTTGTGTCCACTCGCCCGTCGTCTCCCGGCCGTGCTGTGTGGATGGCTGTTGTGTCCACTCGCCCGTCGTCTGCCGGCCGTGCTGTGTGGATGGCTGTTGTGTCCACTCGCCCGTCGTCTCCCGGCCGTGCCGTGTGGACGGATGCCGTGTCCACCCGCCCGTCGTCTCCCGGCCGCGCTGTGTGGGCGGATGCTGTGTCCACCCGCCCGTCGTCTCCCGGCCGTGCTGTGTGGGTGCATGCTGTGTCTACCCCGCCCGCCGTCTCCCGGCCGTGCTGTGTGGACGGATGCGGTGTCTACCCCTCCCGTCGTCTCCCGGCCGTGCCTTTTGGGTCCATGCTGTGTCTACCCCGCCCGTCGTCTCCCGGCCGTGCCGTGTGGACGGATGCGGTGTCTAACCCGCCTGTCGTCTCCCGGCCGTGCCGTGTGGACGGATGCGGTGTCTACCCCGCCCGTCGTCTCCCGGCCGTGCCGTGTGAACGGATGCTGTGTCTACCCCTCCCGTCGTCTCCCGGCCGTGCCGTGTGGACGGATGCGGTGTCTACCCCGCCCGTCATTTCCCGGCCGTGCTGTGTGGACGGTGGACCGGCCGTTTGCACATACTCGTCCGCCGGCGGCCCTGCCCCGCAGGACACGTGGGGCCTGCCGGCTGGTCAGCGCGTCCCGTCCGCCCCGGACACGGCCAACCAGCAGCGGCGGATCGAGCCCTTAACAGCCGGCGGGGTGGGGTGCGTGGGGGGGGGGCAACATCGGACCTTCCTTGGATTTGGTCTGTGCGGATTATTTTGGGGCATGGCTGCTTGTTCCCCTTGACACGCGCTCGGGTGGGAAGGGTCAGGTTGACCCTCCCAAAGGTTTTTTCCAGAATGGGTTCCGAACGGCGCGGCGCAGCCGCGCCAAATTTTGCATAGCTGTAGACAATTGAATTGCGGATCGTTTGGTGTAAAAATTTAGATGTACCTTGTAAGTTCGCTGACCTGTGGCAGGTCAAAGTCAGGCCATGGTTTCAGCGAAGTCAGTTTCTAGGGAATCGTTTAGTATGATGCAACAACGAAGTGTTAGACGAAACCATGCATCTCTAAAATGCTTTCTTAGGCAGCACAAATATTGAATGAGCAAATTACGTTGACCTAAGGTCAGGTATGGACGTCAGAGCAAGGCCAAAATAAACCTGTTTTATTACTCTGGGGTTTTCTTTATGGGGAAGTTTCTGGTGCTCATTCCTAATTTATTAATAGCAGGAACCGTATTATACATCTTTCATGAACTTCTTAGAGGTCATAATAGGTCATTGACCTAAAATGATCCAGGTCAACATTTTGTCTTTGGACATACTACCTAGCGTAATCTTTGTCGCTAGCGTATTCCTAGCGTAATATTATTCAAATGCAACACTCAAAGCAGTCTTGTATGATTTTGGTTACCATGACCTTCAAAAGGTCAAACAAGGTCGCGGACCGTAAATGAGCATGTGGCCTTTTGCTTAGAAACAGTCAGCTAGGTTCTGGGGTACTTCGGAGACCAACCTGAAATTTGACCTTGTTTAACCTTATTTGACCCGAAGGTCATGACCTAGGAACCTCAAACTTTGAGTAAAATGAATTCACGTACAGGTCAACACAACCTGTGAATTTGGTGTCTCTAGCCTTTTTATTTCCCGAAATATCAGCAGGTCAAATTGACACCCACCCGAGCGAAATGTGTCCAGCTGGCCACCCGGGCGCGTGTTAGCACGTGCTCGGGTGGGAGGTCAAATGGGGCCCTCAAGGGTTTTCCGAAATGGGCTCTGAACGTCGGGGCGTCGTCGCGCCAAATTTCGCATAGCTGTAGACAATTGAATGGCGGATTAGATGCACCTTGTAAGGTCGATGGCCTGTGGCAGGTCAAAGTCAGGCCATGGTGTCAGCGGAGGCACGTTCTAGGGAATCGTTCAATCTGATGCAACAACGGAGTGTTAGACGAAGCCAAAAATCTCAGATGCGTTTTTAGGCAACGCAACAATTGAACGACCAAGTTCCATTGACCTAGGGTCAGGTATGAAAGTCAGACCAAAGTCAAAACCAACCTGTTTTATTACCCTAGGGTTTCCTGTGTAGGGTACCTTCTGGTGCTCATTTCGAATTGATTGATGACAAGAACGGCATAAGACATCCTCCATGGACCCCTTAGAGGTCCGGATAAGCCACTGACTTAAAATGACCCAGATTATCATTCTATTTTTAGGAACATACTGCCTAGCGTAATCTTTGTCGCTGATTCAAATGCAAAACTCAAAGCAGTCTTCTATGATTTTGGTCGCCATGACCTTCAAAAGGGTGAAACAAGGCCACTGACCGTAAATGAGCATGTGACATTTTGCTTAAAACAGGCATCTAGGTTCCGGGGACACTTTGGAGACCAACTCGGAGATTGACCTTGTTTGACCTTATTTGACCTGAAGGTCATGATCTAGTGACCTAAAAATTTGACTTGAAAAAGTTCGTACAGTTCAAGACACCCTGTAAATTGAGTGGCTCTAACCCTCTTACTTTCTGAGATCTCAGCGGGTCAAACTGACCCCCACCCGAGCGAAGGGCATCCAACCGACCGCCCGGGCGCATGTTACGAATCTGTTTGCTTTCGTCCGTCGCCTCCCGCGTTGGCTACCGTTGACGTCGGCGTTGGCGGCGCCAGCCGGTCGTGGACAAGATCGCACCAGTGGCCAGTCCGAACGTTCGCTCCCTGCCGCGTAGGCATGTCGTCGTCCGTTCAATGTAGGCAATGTCGGTCTGACGCGGCACATTGGTTTCGTTTGGGCTGATATGCTAAACTGGCCCAGAACCCGCTTCTGATTAGTGTCGCCACAGGGGAATGAACTGGCGCTCCGCAGCGTTGTGCTCTGCCACACACGTGCGGTCAGCACAGCCGGCCCCGGACCAGACATGGGACGGAAGGCTGGTTTTTGGCACTGATGCACGATTTTGTGGTATGGTTCAGAGTTTCGACTGACGGTCTGGATGTGGCAGACGTGAGCGCTGTTCCATTGAACATTCAATGTAGCGCGAGTCGGTGTCCTGTCCGGACCCCGTCCCCCTGCGAGCCAGTGACCTGTCCGGACCCGCCCCGCTGCGAGCCAGTGACCTGTCCGAACCCGTCCCGCTGGGAGCCGGTGACCTGTCCGAACCAGCCCCGCTGGGAACCGGTGACCTGTCCGAACCCGTCCCGCTTGGGAGCCGGTGACCTGTCCGAACCCGCCGCGCTGGGGGCCGGTGACCTGTCCGAACCCGTCCCGCTGGGAGCCGGTGACCTGTCCGAACCCGTCCCTCTGGGAGCCGGTGACCTGTCCGAACCCGCCCCGCTGGGAGCCGGTGACCCGTCCGGACCCGTCCCGCTGGGAGCCGGTGACCCGTCCGGACCCCCGCCCCGTTGGGAGCCGGCGCCACCCGGCCCCGTTGCCCGGACGTCGCGATTGATTTTGTGCCGGCGGCGGTGGCGGCGCCGCGCCGCCGCCGCCGCCGCTGCCGCTCAGTCGGCGCCCAGACGCGGCGCGCAGCGGCCATGGACACGGTGCTGGCATCGCTCGGGCTGGGCACGCGCTACTGCCTGGTCAGCGACGACCACGAGCGGCCCGAGTCGTACGGCGACGACCACGAGCGAGGCCCGCAGACACTGCTCGAGCGCTGCACCGACCTCGGCGCCGTGCACGACACGTTCTCGCGCACGCCGGCCAGTCGGCCGGCCAGCCTGCTGAGCAGACTGAGGCCGGACAGTGAGCAGAAGCGGCCGGCTGTGCGGCGCGAGCGGCCCGCCCGCGCCGCCCAGCCCGAGAAGGAGAACGCCGGCCCGCGCGCCGAGGCCGCACTTGGCTTGTTTGACCGGCTGGCGTCGAGGCACGGAGACGGGCGGCTGGGGGCGCTCGGTGGACTGCGACCCGGACACAGGTACTGTCGGGAGTGGCTCCCCCCTCCCGCCGCTCCCCCCTGAACCGGACACAGGTACTGTCGGGAGCGGTCCCCCGCTGTTCCCCTCTGGACCGGACACAGGTACTGCCGGAAGTGTCCCGTCGCCCCCCTCCCCCTCCGTACCGGACACAGGTTGTGTCGCGATTGGTCCCCCCCCCCGCCGTTCCCCTCTGGACCGGACACATGTACTGTCGGAAGTGTGCCCCCCCCCCTTCGTACTGGACACGGGTTGTGTCGGGATTGGTCCCCCGCGGTTCCCCTCTGGACCGGACATAAATATGCTGGCGTTCCCTGTTCCTTTTTCCCGGCACAAGCGCAGGTTCTGTGGCGGTACCCCACTTCTCCACCTGGCACAGAACGGTTCTCGCCCCCCCCCCCCCCCCTGTTTGGACTGGACACGGGCACTGAGGCACGCTCACCGTTCTCTTCGCCACAAGTACTGTGGCACCACTTTCCCCTTGCGCTAGTTGCAGGTACTGCACTGGCCCCCTCCCCTCGGTCGGTCACGAGAACTGCTGAGTCCGCTTTCCCTCTCTGTTGGACTCGGCCTTCAGGGCCGGCTCGTTCTCAGCTGTTCGTGGGCAGGTTTCTGTCGTCTCCCCGGCGTGTGGCGGTGGGTCTGATGGCGCCGCGAAGCAGGCGGCGCGCCGCACCGCTCGAACCGCCGCCGCCGCTGATGAGACGGCCACTGCGGTCCGCTCGCCGATGTCGGCCCCACCTCCCCCGCCCGAGCGTTGTCACCCGGGGCCCGCACGCCGTGCTGCACGCGCCAGACGCTTCCGATGCGGATGATGGTGCCAGGCGCCTGAGCGACCGCTGCTCTGCGCACCAACCGTGCGCCGAGGCCAGCTGGCAGGTCGGTGGAGCCGCGTCCGGTCAGGCGCCGGAGTCCGTCCCCAGTCCAGCGTCAGCCGCCAGAGCCACCAGGCAGGCGCCTCGCTGTTTTGTTGTCCACGGTGCGGTACATGGGCGAGTGGCGAGTCACCCTGACCTGCTGGAAAGAGACTTTTTGTCGGAGCAGCCGGGACGCCGCCGTATTTGGAGCCGGCATGGCCTGCGCCGGACCGTCGCCGGCGTGACACACCAGTCCTCCGTGCTGGCTCACGTCAGCGGCGCGGCGGCGGCGACTGCCGACCGCGCCCGGCTGCCGGGGACGACCGCGCCCGGCTGCCGGGGACGACCGCGCCCGGCTGCCGGGGACGCCTGCGCCCGGCTGCCGGGGACGGCTGCGCCCGGCTGCCGGGGACGACCGCGCCCGGCAACCGGGGACGACCGCGCCCGGCTGCCGGGACGGCTGCGCCCGGCTGCCGGGACGACCACGCCCGGCTGCCGGGGACGACCGCGCCCGGCTGCCGGGTACGGCTGCGCGGCGCCGAGACGGACCGCCGCAGGTCATCGGAGGCGCTCGCGCCGCCGACCATCGCACTGTGTTCTCGACGTGCTTGCCGTCGGCTCTGTGCCTGCCGTGTGTGTGCCGCCACTCTGGCGCCGGTCTGGGCGTCGGCTCGGGGGTCGCCCTTTGTCTGGCCTCTGACCCAGTTGCGGTCCGGAAGGCGGCAGTGGGTACGGCTCGGGCCGGTGCTGCACCAGATCGCAGCACCATCGGGCCGGCCCGCGCCGGACCTCGCCCCGCCGCCGCTTGCAACAGCGCCGCCTTGAACTGCCGCGCTCATGTGTCTTCGGCCGACCTGATTGTTTTTGTGAGCCCCATGTGACGGCGCTTAGCGGGACCGGCGGTTGCAGGCGGCGCGGCCGCTCGGGCGGCTCGGGGCCCGTGACCTTGTAGGGAGGCGCGCTGCGACGGGGCGTGACTCAGCACGCCGGCTGACCGGCATTTACAACAAGAGATTTCCTCAATAGCGCGGCGATCTCGATCGGATTGGTCCGCACCATGTTCAGACAAAGACGAGGAGCGTGATCTGCCCCCGAGGCCGCGAGTCGATGCCAGACCGGAGGTTCGGCAGTTGTCATTCGACATAGAGGCAAGTGAATGACCTGTTCACGCTCTGTAATTCTTCTGACCGCACCGAAAGTTCCGAGGCATGCGATTGAAGGGCGTCGGAATTATGGTCACGTGCGCTGCCACGGTGGAGGCACGTGGGTGAGGCCGGGGGCAATGCCGCGGCTCAAATAAATGCCGGCGGTATGGCCAGAGCGGCGTGATATGAAAGCCGTGTATAGCTGGACGACAGAAGGCCAGCTGGTGCGCTGTTTCCTGCAAGAATGTGCCCTGGATGGGCAGAGTATCATAAGCTCAAGTCGCATTATTTTCATGGGTGTCCAGAGGCCTTACCTACATCTCGCCGTTCGTCTGAGTCACCTCTCGCTGCGTCCCTGGCCGTTTGGTCCGGTCCGGGTTCGCTGCCTGGCGGGGACCGGCAAAGCGGCATTGCTTTGTCAGTCTCGATGTCGTGTCTGCGACCGCAGCCGGGTGTTACCGAGGCCTCCGTTGCGGTTCTGAGACGGCGCGGCGGGGTATTTAACGGCGCTCAGATCTCACTTAGAGCAGGTCGCTCTGGTGGTGACAGCCGGTGGCGTGGCTGCCGTGTGTATGGATTCTGCCTGTTGGCTGCCGTGCGGACGGTCTTGTCTGTTGGCTGCCGTGCAGACGGTCCTGCCTGTGCCGTGCGGACGGTCCTGCCTGTTGGCTGCCGACTGACGCATAGTCGCCAGCCTCGGCCGGCATCTCTCCGGGACGGCCATGCACGTTTGACCCGAGCCGGCCGGGTCTTTGACCGGCGCCGCCGCCGGACCGGGCCGCGCACGTGCGGTTGCGTCAGGCCGGCCGCATTATGACGCGGCCGGATGGGTGCAGTGGCTGTCACGTGGCGTGACGTGTGACGCGGCGACAGCGGTGCAGGCGGCCATTTGTGAGGTGCGCACTAAACCACATGATAACGCGCTGTGACGCTCATAAGTGTGTTGTATGCATGGTTGTTATTTCTTGCTGTTCCACATACGACACAAGTCGTGAGTATTGCAGGGGCATTACCTTCCAATAGCAGCATAACCACTACAGTGGGCTGGCTCTGAAACGCATACTGGCGTGGGGTGAAAACGTCTCACATGTACCGCACTATAAATTCATAAATTTAGATAGACTTAGACTGGAGCCCCCGCCCCTGTCTTCCGGCGGTGGCGGAGGTGCAGCGCTCCAGATTCCCGTGTCTCCCGAGTATGGGGAGTTGAGGTGTCCCAGATTCCATCTCCGTGCCGCTTAAGACGGCCCGGTTCGACCCGAGCGAACAGTGGTGGAGAAGGCGACACCGCGGCCGCCTCTTGTACAGCTCAAGACGCTATTGATATGCCCTGGCTGAGAGAATGGTAGAGATGCTTTTTAAGGAGGTAAGCTGCTTGGGCTGGGATGTCGGCTCTGCCTGCCCAAAATGAGTGAAGATGAGTTCAGGAGGTTTGGTTGAGTGCAGGTTTGGTGTCTGCTGCTTTTTTCGAACGGCTACCCTCATGTTTTGTTGTCTTTTATTAGTTTGTGTCGGTGCAGGTTTGCTCCCCAGTAATTCGTGCGTCCCTATCAAGCGAGATCGTTCCCAGGCGTGCTCTGCGATACGAGCCGCGTCACGGGCCGCGGTCGGAGCGGGACGGGCCAGCAGACAATGGGCGACAGAAGGTGGTGTCTGGCCGGCCGTCTGAAGGTCCGCCGGTCATGGCGTCTGGCTCTGAAGGTCCGCCGGTCATGGCGTCTGGCCGACCGTCTGAAGGTCCGCCGGTCATGGCGTCTGGCTCTGAAGGTCCGCCGGTCATGGCGTCTGGCTGATCGTCTGAAGGTCTGTCGGTCATGGTGACTGGCTGACCGTCTGAAGGTCTGTCGGTCATGGTGACTGGCTGACCGTCTGAAGGTCCGCCGGTCATGGCGTCTGGCCGACCGTCTGAAGGTCCGCCGGTCATGGTGTCTGGCCGGCCGTCTGAAGGTCCGCCGGTCATGGCGTCTGGCCGACCGTCTGAAGGTCCGCCGGTCATGGCGTCTGGCCGACCGTCTGAAGGTCCGCCGATCATGGCGTCTGGCCTACCGTCTGAAGGTCCGCCGGTCATGGTGTCTGGCCGGCCGTCTGAAGGTCCGCCGGTCATGGCGTCTGGCCGGCCGTCTTTCGCCGGCTGATGTGGACCCCGCTCTCAGCACTGGGAGCCGCCCAGCCTCCGGACTGCAGTGGGACGACCCCTCGGCTGGTCAAGTCTCCTCAGTGACGCCCGCTTGACCGCCAGGACTCTGAGACTCGTGCTTAAGTGAGCCGTCTCGCTTCCAGATCGGACCAGGGCAGTGCACCGCTCATGACGGGCGACAACGGCAACGACTCCTGGGGCTGGAACTCGTCTCCAAACAAGTGAGTGTCCTCTCACCTGGGGCTGACGCTGCGACACGGCGGTGTCGAACTGTATCATGCGAGAGGAGTTCGACTACACTGAATGCATGTCTCTTTGGTCGCCATGATACACGGAGCTTTTGGTTTATATTTTGTCGCGTTCAAGGGGGTTTTATAGCGGCGCTATGTTGTGTGCTTTTCCTACAGTGTGCACCGGGGTGACGGGCAAGAGAACTCACCCGACACGTTACACGGGGCCCGTTTCCCCACCCTGACTGTGTCGACGTCACGGTGTTTTGAGTACCGTGTGAGTAGCTGTGCCGGCCCCGGTGTTCTGAGTACCGTGTGAGGGCTCTGCTGGCCCCGGTGTTCTGAGTACCGGGTGAGGGCCCTGCTGGCCCCGGTGTTCTGAGTACCGTGTGAGCGGCTGTGCTGGCTTTGGTGTCGTGAGTACCGTGTGAGGGCTCTGCTGGCCCCGGTGTTCTGAGTACCGTGTGAGGGCTCTGCTGGCCCCAGTGTTCTGAGTACCGTGTGAGGGCTCTGCTGGCCCCGGTGTTCTGAGTACCGTGTGAGGGCTCTGCTGGCCCCGGTGTTCTGAGTACCGTGTGAGTGGCTGTGCTGTGCTGTGCCGGCCACGCGCCCCAGTGGGGCACATGGCCGGCGCTGACAGACGCACCGTGGGCGCAAAACCCACCAGTTTGGAGTCGTAAACGCCCCTCAGCGTGCCGCACGGAATGCTTTTGGTGCTGGTGGGCACCTCACGTACGTGCCAGTGCCGGAAATCGACTCCAAAGGGTACAAATGCCTGCTGATAGAAAGCTTTGGAAGGATTGTTCGCTCAAGAAATTAACGGGTCTAAGCAGACTTTATTGTTATCATATTTATTCTAGGACACTTCCTCAGGCTTCTTCGAGTAGGGCATGGTTGATTTGCGTTACTTGGCCGTGCGATGGTAGTGCCTGGGAGGGAGCCCCAAACAGGAAGCAGGCCGATGTCGGCCAAGAAAAGTAGCTTTAGACTACTTTCCTACCAGTCACGAGTTCCATAATTGATCACATTAGTGTAGGAATCTTGCGATGTGCCCTTCTTGTTAAGCTCAATCCGTGTCCATCGTCAATACTTTTTGCGTTGGGAAAGATGTTTGCAGCGTTTTTATTATAGCTGCTTGTTCTCAACAGACCCGTGCTTAATTCCGAATGTGACTGGTAAACCCATGGCGAAGATTTCGGGTCTTGGAAACTGAACAGGGCTTTGAGTCATCGCCAATTCCGACTCCGGGAGTTACCACTCAATACCGGAGTCGGTTCCAATGAATCGATTCCGATGGATCAGTTCCGGTGACGACAGCTGCCTACATAAAAGGACAGTCATTTTAAGAATTGTGCAGTTTGGCATGTCCGCATCCCATGTTGTAAGCATAAAACCTGCCAAAATTATGGCTATCACGTTGCTTACGTTATTCAACATTAAGTCGACTCAGGGTCGATTCAGACCACACCCAGAATCGAGCACAAGTGCACTAACGAGTAGCTTGCTTTTCCGATCATCAGGTCGTCTCTTCGACCGTGGGTTTGTTACTTTGTTTGCTAGATGAACTAGGGGGCCGGCTCCTCGACACCGACTGGATATAGCAGGCTCGAAGCTTCGGTGCGTGCTTCATGAGGCGACACCCGGCTTCCTCTGTCCATGCTGTGTCGTGATCTAGGCGCGCGTGGCATGTGCCGTGCGCAGGCCGCGCGGATGTCTTGAGCTTATGCCTGGAATGGGCGCCGCATGGGCACAGCTGGTGTCACCGCCGGTCTGCTGCAGCCGAAAATAGCTCCAGCGTTTCGAGGAGGTCCGGGAAAGCAGTGATCTAACGACGCCGTCGTTCTTCATTTGCATATAAAGGAGTTCTGAAGCTGTCCCGAAGTACGTGTCTGGCGTAAACCCTGCCATAACAAGAGATTATTGTGGCATAATCTTCTCCCAATTTTTCGGAGCATGTTATAAGCCATGCTAACTTTAATGATTGTGAATTACGCTATGTACCCCCTAGAATATTTTAATAAACATAAACAAAATGAATCGTCATCAGAAAAAGGGACGGCGATGGGACGGAGTTGGTTGCCGTTCGTAACACGATGGTCGTCCGTATTGTGACGTGGTGGTCGCGGGCTGGTGGATGTTTCGCTTCATTTGATTCACTGTGAGCCGCTGGTGCCCCCTGCGACAGGGGCACCGGCGGCTCATAGTGACTGGCGACACCCACAATATCACTCGGTCAAGTGATATTGTCTCCGTGGCCGTCCCTGTTCGTCTGATTGGAAGGACTCTCGAGTGGTTCCCCAGTAGCTCCCCGGTAATTCCCGGTAACTCCTCAATCACTCCCTAGTAACTCCCCAGTGACGCCGCCTCGTCTGCCTTGCAGGACATCCTCTGGTGACGTTCAGTGGGGCTCCGGCGCGGCCTGGGACGACGCTCAGTTGGCGGCTCCCAAGACCAAGGCGGCCAAGGCGCGCACCGCCAAGAAGCCGGGCGGCAGCGACCAGGCTAGCCTGATCGATCTGGGCGACGCCAAGGAGGACGACTGGCAGAGCTGGGAGGACGACGCGTGGGCCAGTCTAGAGCGCAAAAACTGAATCTCGCGCCACTAGGAGACATGCGGCGACGGCGGCGGCGGGGCTGTCGCTGATCGCCGGGCCCTGCAGGGGAGACGGCGGCAGCGGTGCCGGGGGGGGGGGGGGGGGAAGGGCGCCGCGTGGCGAGAGTTGCGCCGCCTCACCGGCCGGGAGGGGTGTCACGGGGTCGGGTCAGGTGACGCTGGGCTGGCCGGCTGGTGCCGCTGGACGTCGGCCTGGTGCGGTCCGCGCCCGCGGTGCCACCGCACGGCTGGCCGCCGGGCTTCGCGGGGCCTGCCTGCTAACGCGTGGCCGGAGACGGCCGCTAGCCGCTGCTCCGGGCCGCGGCCGGCCCACTCCGAGACGTGCCGGGGACCGCCGCCGGTGCGGAGGCTGGGTCACGGGCGGCGGGCGGCGGGCGGCGACGGCGCGGCGCAGTTCGCCTGTGACGCAGTTGGGCCGGCCGACCGTGCTGCATCGGTGGCAGTGCTGCGACGCGGCACGGCACACTGTGTGGACGGGTTCTCGGTGAGGAGGCGCTGGGCGAGGGGGAAGGGGATAGGACCTGTGCTTCTTATGTGTCTCGAGCTATATGATGTCGAGAACATGTGTCAGATGTCCTGTCTGGGTGTGCTTTGGCAGGAACTCCGTGGGAAGTGGTGTGCGGGCCACGGCTGCAATTTCGTTGTTGCGATTCCGCTGTTTAAACGCTAATATATACTTTATTTGGAATTATTCTAGAGTTGTCTAGGGCCTACGCGTTTCGAGATGCATGCGGTGATCCATGTGTGCGCAGATGTGAAATTATTTTTCCTGACACATGGGAGGTTATTTTTGGAAGAGAAGCCGCAGCCTGTTTTTAACTGGTCGATGTGCGGCGGTAGGACGTGGGAGCTATCCGCAAACATTCTTCCCGTTTCCGACAGCGCTGGCGGTCCGTACGTGGGCACGCGACTATGTATTGTAACTGGCACGCGGCTATTCCAAGTGACGCCAGACGCGCGGCGGTCTCTTCAGTCGCATTAGCTTCAATCGTGACGGACATATCGACGCTCGGCTATGTATGGTGCGCTATGCTGTGCTGGGTGTGATCGACTCGACGGGGTCTCTTCGCCAGCTGCGGGCAACTTGTCTTAGGATGTCTTTTTAAATCCAGGTTATCGTTCTAAAGTGGCGAGCTGAAAACGTCCGAGGTGCCCGTAGTGTGCCCTATGTGTGGTACACTATACTATGTCCGGCGTGGCGCACTTCCCGGATCGGGGAGGGGATGCGGATGGGTGGGTCCGTCTGGAGTCGTCACAGCATGTATGCTTGTGCATTATGTGAGAACTTCGAGCTGTATGTAGCGTCGTTCGGGACAGTGCATCAATTCAGGCTGATACCCAGCCGATAAGCTCGTGTCTGGTTTGGTCGGATTGCTCTGTCTCCTCCGTCTGTACTTCGGTGAACGGACCATGCAGTGTAATCTAAACAGCTGGGCCGAAGAGACCCAAACGGTCATAAATCGAGTGTTGTGCGAGTTTGGGCGCAACTGAAGTAAATACAAGTATTTAAATTCGTACGTTTTGAGGTGTACACGTGCACCATGCCTCGCGACCCGCGGGTACCCCACCTCAATTGAGAACTTTCATAGCTAACTTGCGATCAGACGCACCAGAGCTTGACGATAACTAGCTTGGAGCGCTCCAGCCCAAGTTCTGCCTTTTGGCAATACTCACCATAAGTTCCATTCTGGCCTTTAATGGACCGTCGCATTGAGTACATTTGCGCTATCGTGGACGCCCGGAGCCAGATGCATGCTCATCTGCAGCACACCGGTGCCGCTGTCCAAGTGCTTACCGTTTACCGCCTCATTCCGTAGGCTGCGCCGTGCGCGACGGTGGCGTGTTGACCGTGCGCGGGAGGAAGGGAGAACCCCGTGCGGGAGCGAGGTGGATCTCCGTGGGATGGCCTTGTGCGGGAGCGAGAGAGATCCCCGCGGGATGGCCGTGTGCGCGAGCGAAAGATACCTCCGCATGATGGCCGTGTGCGGGAGCGAGGGAGATCTCCGTGGGATGGCCGTGTGCGGGAGCAAGAGATATCTCCGCGGGGTGGCTGTGTACGGGAGCGAGAGATACCCCCGCGGGATGGTCGTGTGCGGGAGCGAGATAGATCTCCGTGGGGTGGCCGTGTGCGGGAGCGAGAAATCTCCTCATGATGACCGTGTGCCGGAGCGAGAAAGATCTCTGTGGGATGGTGTCGCGCTGGAGCGAGAGATCTCCGTGAGATGGCCTTGTGCGGGAGCGAGGGAGATGTGAGAGGTGCCGTGGGATGGCCTTGTGCGGGAGCGAGAGAGACCCCCGCGGAGGCCGACCTCAGCTCTGTCTGAGTGTCGGATCGAGGCGAGCCTACAGGTTCGACGGTGTCACGTGCGAGCCCTCCCAGTGTCCCGCCGCTGTTGACGATGTGAATAGATCTTTATGCGGCTCGTGATGTTATTACTGGGACGTGCGGCGAGAGGCGCTGGAAGGCGGATGACGTCAGCGAGTTTGTGTTCCAACGTAGGGCAACGAACTCAAAGGATTTGGGCGAAGCGGCATTCGCCGAAAGGCATTGTGAGTTGGGGGTTTGGACGCTTCAAGCTGTGCACGTGATCAGGGTCGTTTAACCAGTACCTCATGGCACAATGAAGGTCGATAATTGTGAAAATCAGAGCCCTTAACTCGCAACACCGTAAACAAGAATTTCAAGGCTTTTCTTGCTGACTTAAAGTTCACTGGAGGTGGTCTGCTAGTGCTTGCCGAGCGACTGAGGCCCTTCGCAAGGCTACCGTGGCCGGGCGTCCCGCAGGACGCGTCCTCCCCATCTATACCACGCCGCCTGGTCCAGTGGCTCAAGGGAAGGACAGACCTGTCCTGGAGCCTGGGCTGCACATGGAAAGGAGTTATATTTTAATGGAATGAACGCGCAACCGACTTGAAACGCCTAGCGAGTCAGAGTCGGAATACAGCCTCGTTCGTGCATTGACATCGGGAAGGAGTTGCCAATGCGTGAGCCTGATCATGATCATCACGAACGTCATGCATTGATCGGAATCGATGATTACCATCACGAGCATCGTGTATTGATCGGAATCATGGATGTGCCAAACGCCAGAGCGACCATTTAGGCAGATACAGTCTGCCAGCGGCGCACTGTTTAGTGGAACAACCGTGACATCTCCGTCGCCTTAAACCCAACTCAAGGCCCGTGATGGCCGTTATGCAACCCGTAAAACGGGTTAGTGACAGAGTCTTGCCTGCATCTCATGGAGTCAAGCCTCGAGTCGGACCGGAGTCAGAGTCGACCCGGGACTGTCCACGCCGCTCTCAACTGGAAGATGACTCAGCTCGGCATGCTGTCCACCGGGGATTTCGTGCGGAAGAGCGCAGCGGTCTGTCCGGGTCTGAACTCGACGGTAAAAACAAAGGTAGCCGGACCAGGGCTCAGCTTTTTCGAGCAGGAGCTCACACCTGCGTAAAGTGACATGATAACTGTCGTGCACATTTGAGGTGGTGTGTCACTCCAGTCTCTGACGGCAGCGCACTGCTGGGCGCGTCAGTCCAGTCTCTGACGGCAGCGCACTGCTGGGCACGTCACTCCAGTCTTTGGCGGCAGCGCACTGCTGGGCGCGTCAGTCCAGTCTCTGACGGCAGCGCACTGCTGGGCACGTCACTCCAGTCTTTGGCGGCAGCGCACTGCTGGGCGCGTCAGTCCAGTCTCTGACGGCAGCGCACTGCTGGGCACGTCACTCCAGTCTCTGGCGGCAGCGCACTGCTGGGCACGTCACTCCAGTCTCTGACGGCAGCGCACTGCTGGGCACGTCACTCCAGTCTCTGACGGCAGCGCACTGATGGGCACGTCACTCCAGTCTCTGACGGCAGCGCACTGCTGGGCACGTCACTCCAGTCTCTGGCGGCAGCGCACTGCTGGGCACGTCACTCCAGTCTCTGACGGCAGCGCACTGCTGGGCACGTCACTCCAGTCTCTGACGGCAGCGCACTGCTGGGCGCGTCACTCCAGTCTCTGACGGCAGCGCACTGCTGGGCGCGTCACTTCAGTCGTGAGCCGCCTCTTGCCGCCGTGGAGCCACGGACGACAGACTGAGCAGAGCAGAGCAGAGCAGAGCAGAGCAGATCAGATCTTAGCCAGAGCCAGCCACTTCCACATGTCCGACACGGGATGGTTTTTCAGAGCTGACCCGTGCAATAAGCTAAATATTTTTTTTTACACGGCAGCCATGCTTGGCTGAGGCGAAAACAAAGTAGGAAGCTGAGGCAACTAAGTAGGTTACATGGGTCAGTGTTGGGAGGCCAGGACACCACTGGTGAGTGGCGGTTAAAGGATACATTTCCATAGTTGTCAAAATACAAACCTAATCACAGCGAATTCATCCCGTGCCGTCTTACCATTACAGATTTAGGAAGTGAACAAAACAGTCGCGTTAGTCTGCTGAAGTCCTCAAAGGCAAACGTCGCTGTAACCATTTGCCAACAGGATGCCTGGTTGGACGCTGAAAGCCGTGCACCAGTTCGTCCCCTGGGCTCTCGCCCAGTCTGGTTACCCGGGAAGCATCTGACCACCGCCGTGCTTCAAATCCCAGCTCAACAGTGGCACAATGAAGTGCAATGATCAAGGCCACTGTACAGTTAGACCAGGCCGGCCCAGCACCTGGGCTTGCCCAAGCCGAATAGTCGTGCCGCACCGGACCGCAGAAGGGACCACTCGCAAACCCCCCTCCCCGAGCGAGAGGGGGGGGGGGGGGCGGACGTCCTCCGAGGTGCCGAGGGATGTTGGCGCCCAGACGGCGCCAGCTGGTGTCTGCACCGGCGAACGCACCACCACGCGCGACGTCGGCGCTTGGGCGGCGCGCGCCGTGCGAGCGCTTCGTGTTATTTTGCCGCACCACTCGGTACTCTGCGCCCGATGGCACGCGTCGGGACGCGCCAGACCGGATCACCAGAAACAACACCGCTGCACATGGTGCTGATTTATTAGGCTAATGCTAAAATAACGTAGAGGACAGGACAGCATAAAGGGCGTTTAATCGGCTGCAGGCAGAGTGCGGGGGCGCGACTCCGATCCCGGCGATCACTGTGTGCTTGACGCATCGAAGACAGAGAATACTGAAATCCACGTTGCAGCTAAAAATACACTCACACCGATCATGCTCCATCACAAACATGAAATCGCTGTCGCACCTTATTGGTAATGGTACACCTGGTCGTGCAATGCAGAGCGTGGGCCCCAATGGTCAGGCGGCCTCACGAGAGCAAGCGAATAAAGCACTGAAGCGAGGGCCTGCCCGGGCCCGGCCGCCCGAGCGCGCCGCGCCGACACGGGTGGCTGACGCCGCTCGTCCGGCGCGGCCGACGGGCGCCGGCCGGTCCCGGGCTCCTGGCTACAAATAAACGGGGCGCGTGGTGCGCCCTCGGCGGCCGAGTCCACCGACGGCAACTGAATACACTAGATCTCCGGGGTCTCCTGATTCGCGACGCTGACCGGCGCTGCCGACCACATCACTGGAAATCGGCGTAAAAAGGATACGAAACGAGACATATCTACATAAAATACCTAATCCACCTGCCTGGCTTCCGGCGACCCAATCATCTATAAAGGGCAATGTACAAAAATAGCCTTGAATAGCGGAATCAAGAGGCGCGGTGTCCGGCTCGGCCGCTCCGGCCCGACCGTCTCGTCAGAGCGAACAATCGCAGCACCTAAACGTAACCCCGGGCGGGCAGCGAGCCGTCGGCGTTTGATTCGGTGACCTGGCGTGACCGGAACACGACGGTGCCGGGGTCAGGTCACCGGGCTCTCCCCCATACATACACGTCTGAACATGGGGGTCGGGAAGGCCATCTCAGACACGGGACCACTGAGGATCGTCCACGCGCGCAATGCAGCTAGCTCTCCCCCCCCCCCCTCCCCCTCCTCTACTCCCTCTCTTCCACCCTGGCTGATCGGACCAGCAGCCCAATAAAGACCCCCACTGCGCCCAAGAACACGGAGCCAAGCCTGAGAACGTAGCTCACCCTCTCTCTCTCTCTCTCTCACACCACATGCACACTGAGAACGTAGTCGATTCTTCTCTCAAACCAAAACCACACCAATAGCGGAGCCTCACACCTCCTCCCCGATCCAACCGTACCAAGGACTGGGCGGGCCTCTCTCCCGCTCGCATCAACACTCATCACGGGATGAAGCACCTGTGGCGGGGCGACCGGAGCCGACCCGGCCTGGGAAGGACGCTCGGGCCGCGGCCGCGAGCCCACTATGGTCTCGTGAGCGGGCGACACGTCCGGACCCGCTCCGGAGCTCGGCGGCGGCGGCTGCGACGGCTGGCGACGGCGGCGGCGGCGACAGCGGCAGCGGCGGCGCGCTGCCGGCCGCGGCAGTTGCTGGCAAGGGGCGAACATGACTGGGTCGCAGCAGCGGCCAGACGAGGGCCCGCCTAGAAGCCGGCCGCCTCCTTATACTCGGTGGAGTCCTGCGAGAAGAAGTCCTCCAGCTGCCACTGCAGCGTGTCGAAGGTGGGCCGCTTCATCGGGTCCTTGTTCCAGCAGAGCAGCATGATGTCGTACAGCTGCGGCGGGCAGCTGGGTGGCGCCGGCATGCGGTAGCCGTGCTCCACCTGATGCAGCACCTCGGCGTTCGTCATGCCTGCAACGGCACCGACGGCGGACGGTCAGCTGCGGATCAGCCACGGGCCGCCCGGTCCCCCACAGAGCCAGCCGTCAGCCGGGCTGGCCGGAGGTCACGCACAGGGCCGGTCAGCGACGTCGCAGACGGCGGCCGGCCGTCACGAGCTGTGCCAAGCCGACAGGCAGCGGGCAGCATGCCCGACATTGAGGACCGAGCGCGCCCGGTTCCGGAGAGATCGTCACAACAGCAAGTTAAGGACGGTGACACGCGCTACCCTAGGCAGTTTAATGCGACGGACTGGACCGGGACGAAACGGAATCCTGCCGGCCGAAAGTAGGCCGAGGTTTGCGTGCGCAGCTCGACCCGGGCTTCGTGCATCACCAGTTCGCTCGCGCATGCCGGCTGTCACTCGCCTCACAAAACAACCTGGGCCCATATGCTCGCGACATTAACACCTTAAATGCGCGACACACGTCAACTGGCGGCCAGCTCGGGTGCTGAGGCCTCGGCAGTGTCAGGTGGTGTCGCTGTGGGGTGACCGCCGCCGCCGCCAGCGGGGCCGATCCAGGCCGTCCGCCAGTCCGCTCTCGCCGGTCGAGAGACGGCCGGCGGACCGTCGGTGCTGCCCCCAGGAGGTGCGCCGGCATCCACAACCAAACACAGCCCGCCACCGAGCATACCGGTACTAAGTGCAAAAACCTTCCCATACACTGCGGGGTAAGCACGTCTACCAAGAAGGAGCTCAGCGGACAACAGTAAAAACACAAACAGACGAGTCCACCACATAACAAACAGGACCCGGCAGTTGACCAACGCATCAGCAGCGAGCGCCGACGTCCGACTACTTAACAGTACCGCATAACACCACGTGGTGTGAGAGTCCTCACCCGGCAGCTGTAACAGCTCTCGCCAGCTACGCCTCAGCCGTGCTAACAACCCCACAAAGCACACCAGCCCGCGCATGGAACACAGAGCGGGCCGCCTGAGCCCCGACCACCGCCGCCGGCTGTTACGCTACTCGCCTGGGTAGGGAATGCGTCCGTAGGTGATGAGCTCCGTCAACAGGATGCCGAACGACCAGACGTCCGACTTGATGGAGAACTTGCTGTAATTGGCCGCCTCCGGCGCCGTCCACTTGATCGGGAATCTGCTCACGGAACAGAGAGCAGCCGTCAGAAGTTCGGCCATCGGATGTCCCGGTGACCCCGTGACCCTGGTGCACGACGTCAGTGCCCTTGGCCCACATTGCGCCACCTGTGGCACAGCTGCGGGGCTGCACAGCTCCGATAGCAAAGAGAGTACGCACATCACACCCCAGCGGCGTAACAGCCGTCGACAGACGCGCGGTGCGGTCAAGTCAGTCCCAGCCGGAGCTAACTGGACGCGCCGTCCGCCGCTGTTTCGAGTCACCGGCCAGAGATGGCAGGACAGGAGCACCGTATCCCTTGCAAGCCGAATCCGGACGATGACGATCAGTTTATCAGCCCCACACGCCGCCAGGAAGGGGGGGGGGGGGGCAGCTGTAGCCCTGTAGCAGCTGTAGTCATCACAGCCCCACACGGATCGGTTTTACGGGACAGAAGGTCACTGGGCCGCGCCATCGAGCCTCAGCGCCAGGCGCAACTTCCCCGTCACCCACCTCCGTCACCTCTGAGGCATCTTGGCAACACTTCCAACAAAGATGCAGTAACGATCTGGCTCGGATAAGACGTCCGACCCCACCCCCACCCCGCTGGCCTGGTGTGCTTCCAGCCGGCCCTGTCAGGACCGGGACTGCGCTGACTTAACCTCCCTCGATCTAACCTGACCCAGCGCCGCCCTCCCCCCCCCCCCCCCCCCGGCTCACCTCTGCGGCGTCACCGGCCTGCCATGATCCTGTCCCACACTGGCCTCACGCACAGCTGCCTCCCTCGTCACCACCACGCCCTCACCCGCCGCTGCTCCCCCTTATCACCGCCCCGCCCTGACCCACTGCTGCCCTCCCCATCACCGCCCCACCCTCTCCCATCGCTGCCCCCCCCCCCCCCTCGTCAACGTCCCGCCCTGATTCACCACTGCCCTCCCTCGTCACCGCCCCGCCCTCACCCACCGCTGCCCCTCCCCTCGTCACTGCCACGCCTTCTCCCACCGCTGCCCTCCCCATCACCGCCCCACCTTGACCCATCGCTGCCCTTCCTCATCACCCCCAAGCGCTCACTCACCGCTGCCCTCCCACGTCATCGCCCCGCCCCGACCCAGCGCTGCCCTCCCTCGTCATCACCCAGCCCTAACCCACTGCTGCCCTCCCTCGTCACCGCCCCGCCCTGACCCATCGCACCCCTCCTTCGTCACGGCCCCGCGCTCACTCACCGCTGCCGCCCACCCTCGTCATCACCCAGCCCTAACCCACTGCTGCCCTCCCTCGTCACCGCCCCGCCCTGCCCCATCGCACCCCTCCTTCGTCACGGCCCCGCCCTGGCCCGCCACCACCACACTGACCTGGCTCCGACGCGCGCCTCGTATTCGTTCTCCTTGATAAGCCGCGCGAGACCGAAATCAGCGATCTTGACGATGCTGTTCTCGCCGACCAGCACGTTGCGCGCGGCCAGGTCGCGGTGGATGTAGTTCTGACTCTCCAGGTAGGCCATGCCGGCCGCGATCTGGGCCGCCATGTCAATCAGCTGGTTCAGCTTCAGCGCCTTGCCGCGGACTGCCGGACAAGGCGGGGCTCAGTGGGGGCAGGTTTTAACGGAGATGGGGGCCCAAAGCAGGCGGCACTCAACGACAGCAAGTTTCAGTGGGCGAGGAGGAAGGGGTGTTTGGGTCTCGGCGAATGTGGGTCTCAGCGGAGGCGCGTCCCAGCGAAGGAGCACCTCAGGGGGAAGGTCTCAGCGGGGCAAGGTCTCAACGGCGCAAGTTCTCAGCGGAGGAGGGTCTTAGCGGGGGAAGGTCTCAGCGGACGAAGGTCTCAGCGGGGGAATGTCTCAGAGGGGGAGATCTCAGCGAATGAACGCCTCAGCGGGGAAAGATCTCAGCGGAGAAGGCCTCCGCGGGGGAGGACCTCGGCGGGGAAGATATCAGCGTGGGAAGATCTCATATCAGGCGGGAGGTCTCTCAGGAGATATCAGGGGGAAGGTCTCAGCGCGCCCGGGGCTCAGCGGAGGACGTGCGACGCCGGCAGCCGGGTCACGCGGTTGCCAGACAGCGCCACAGCGTATGTGGGGCGCTGTGTTACTAGGGCGGTGCGGGGACAGTGAGTGCACAGTTACACAGGTATATGGGGTCAGCATATGGGGTGGCATGTCGGCAGATAAAGCCACGCCGAATAACGGTTGCACCGAGGTTGACCTGGTGACCGAGTCACACGTTGAAATAAACTGAGCCATTGGCTGAGAGCACGCAATACGGACGCCCAATACAACACGCGCTGCTGGAAGCCACACCGGTACACCGACCGGTCCATCACCAGCCTCCCTCGTCCTGCAAGGGGGGCGGGGCGGGCGGCGGGAGGGGGGGGGGGGGGGCGCATGCATATAGACATCCATGTGGTAGAGTTTAACGAGGAGTTTCCATTGTCATTTTCCGCGACACTCACGCCTGCTTAGTTGTTGTGATCTGAGTGGGACCCTGAGGTCCTCACGTAGAGCGGAAGTGAACAAACTCCCGTTGGGCGAGGGTAAACAAAGCTAGCCCCTGTCCGAAGACTATCGGCAGCGGGGATCAACATAGCTTACCCTTGTCTCGAGGCACTCTCATGGCGAGGGTTACCATAGCCCTTGTCTCGAGGCAATCTCGCTGGCGAGGGTTAACATAGCCCTTGTCTCGAGGCACTCTCATGGCGAGGGTTAACATAGCCCTTGTCTCGAGGCAATCTCGCTGGCGAGGGTTAACATAGCCCTTGTCTCGAGGCACTCTCATGGCGAGGGTTAACATAGCCCTTGTCTCGAGGCAATCTCGCTGGCGAGGGTTAACATAGCCCCTGTCTCGAGGCACTCTCATGGCGAGGGTTAACATAGCCCTTGTCTCGAGGCAATCTCGCTGGCGGGCGGCATCTGATAAGCCGGCGCCGGTTCTACGTCCCTACGGTGCCAATCCCGCCCGAGCACATCTACCAGACAGTATGGCTGCCAGCACAGGCCGCGGCTCGCTTTTTCAGTGATCGATAAGTGATGATTCACTAGGCGCCCACGGCGGCGGCGGCGGCGGCGGCGGCGGCGGCGGCGGCACGGGTGTCCCGATAGAGACCAGCGCCGGCGGCGGGGTATCGGCTGGCGGCGGCGGCTGCTACCCGGAACAGAGCGACCGCCGCGGCAACGCCCCGGGGTCACCCCCCGCCACCTCAGGCCCGAGCAAGATCAAATCCAAACACGGCCATAACAATCCATTTGAGACTAGTGGAGTGTCGTAGACGTTACTGGCAAGCGCGCGTGTGTATCACGCACACACGCGTGTATCAAGTGTGTATCACGCACTGACTTAGTGCCGGATATCGGAGTATTACAAACTATGTGAGCTAGTATTGACCAGCGTGGCACTAAATACAACACATCACAACCAACAGCTGCCAGGCTGGATATCTCACAAAGCCAGCTCCGTCATATCGGGCACGGCAGACCACCAGGACGCGCAGCCCGACCCCGAGCGTAGTGCGGCGCGGTGCGCATCCCTGCACGGGGTCTGCTCCAACCGCGGGACCATGCCGGCACCCTCCACCTGCGGCACCGCGACTAGCGACCGCTCGCACCGGCACAGCCTACACCAAACGCAGCACCCGAGCCAAACTTCCAGAGACGCACTCTGAGCCCGGCCTCTTCCGGACAGAGCGCCGCCGGCAGCAGCGGGACTTCCGACCGGCAGCAGCCAGCCCTGGCAGGTGCCGCTGGCTGGACTCGCCCTCAGCCCGGCCCCCTCCGGACGGAGCGCCACCAGCAGCAGCGAGACTCCCCTCCCGGCAGCAGCGGGACTTCCCGATCGGCAGCAGCCAGTCCTGGCTGGGGTCTCTGGCCGGACGCTGGCGGGACCTGATCAGCTGACTGCCGACAAACCATGTGGCGCTCCGACGGAAGCCGGCTGCAGCAATCTCCACCCGGAGCGGACGGCCGCCGCCACAGTCTCCGTCCGAGGCGAACGGGGGCCCGTATCGGCGGGCGTGACGCGGACGGACAACCCGCGCATGCGGCGGAGACGGAGCGGAGACGGAGCAGAGACGGAGCGGAGAGGAAGTGGTGATAAAGCGGAGACCAGACGGGGATAGAGCGGATACGGAGCGGCGATAGAGCAGAGACAGGGTGACGACAGAGCGGTGAGGAAGCCGTGATAAGGCGGAGACGAGGTGGCGACGGAGCGGGGCCGGAGCGGTGATAGAGCGAAGACGGAGCCGGACGACCAGCGTGGCTCGGGCCGGACGGCTCGAGACCCGAGGACTGTGCATGCGTATGTGCGTGCGCGCCTGTGTGCCTAACACTGATACATGCGAGATGACATCGATACGGTCAAGCATCAGCAGAAAAGGTGCGCCATGGTCCGGTGGTCTTGGCGCCATCCCAGACCGCATACATCGCTGCCACGTGCAGAGCATGTCGGGACGCTTCAACCTCTGCTCGGTCCGGACGCTTCAACCTCTGCTCTGTCTGGAAGCTTCAACATCTGCTCGGTCGGGAAGCTTCAACCTCTGCTCGGTCGGGACGCTTCAGCCTCTGCTCGGTCAGGACGCTTCAACCTCTGTTCTGTCCGGAAGCTTCAACATCTGCTCGGTCGGGACGCTTCAACCTCTGCTCTGTCCAGAAGCTTCAACCTCTGTTCGGTCGAGACGCTTCAACCTCTGCTCTGTCCGGAAGCTTCAACCTCTGCTCGGTCGAGACGCTTCAACACGTCTTCTGTTGAGTCGCCTCAACCTCTCCTCTGTCCGGAAGTTTCAACCTCTGCTCGGTCGAGACGCCTCATCGTTGTTGGCTTTACCGCTGCAGAGTGCACGAATGGCGCCAAGCATCGGCATATCCCACATAGGTGACCGCTTGTGGTCACGCTAGTCGTGAACGACCGACGGCCCGGTTAGCAAGTTCGTCACGTGCAAGCCAGTCCTGATCAGTGACGAGGCGCACGAGCGTGCGTCTGTGGCCTACTGCGGGCGCATAGGATCACCCTCAAGACAAATACGCAACGAACAAATACTCGAATGGCGGTGATGGTAAGAGTTTTAAAGCGCGCCAAGTGCTGTGACCATTTTGTGGGGCACATAGACTACACAACACATTTATGTGACTTGTATAAAACACGTAAACCACGAAACCCTGCGCTGATAAAACTGCATGTTGAAATCACGGAGTGGCGTAGGCTCAGTGGCCACGTGGTCACATTTTCACACCACCCCGTTGCGCACAACACTCCCGTCAGCACTCACACCTTGTGCGCACTCACTCATCTCAGGGCCCATCCGTCCCTGTGAAGACCCGCCATCTGAACCGTCCCTCGACAAGACAGTGCCGCACGTCTTGCTGCCCCCCCCCCCCCCCCGCCCACTCAAGTATACCGACCTTAAAACCAGCCTTCACCAATGCCGACACTATCCACATGAAAGCGAATCCACACCGATAAAAAAGATGAGCAAAACGTGGACAAAGGGCGACGGTGGCTGACGTCACGTACATGACGTGGGACAAGTCGCGAAAATAGATTCTGCGCGTCCGGCAAAGATAGTACGTGACGTCACGTGCATCCTTGTCGTCCGGGTTGCTGTGAATACTTCCCACGCCTTACACGATGGCAGGCGTGGAGTCAGGGGGCAACCCTGTCTTCACAACGAAAGAAACCATCTTTCCTCGTTCGCATCGGATAAAGTGAGCCGATTTAGCCGAAAAGCTGACTGCGCGACACGCACCATATTTTTTGTTCAAGAGGAGATGCTGCAAATTTGTATGCATGCAGCTAAAAAACAACGCTTTTTGGGATCGGTACAAGTACTTCAGTCAAGAAGTGCTTCTCAAAAAATATATGATTCAAATCAACAGGCCATTCCCAAACAGCTGTCCGATATTTTGGCCACTCTGCACCAATACTGCGACGAACTTTTAGCCGAAGGCGTGCGGCCGAATGAAAAAAATAATCTGCTCCTTCAATATGTTGAGCGCCTTACAACACATACTATCACGTCGTGAATGCTGATAATCCAGCTACTTTTGTTACTTAAGCTATGGGGACTACATGAATCCGGCAATCGATATGCCCTTAATCCCAAACGACCGTCACCTTTATCGCAATTCGTGCAGCCAACTGGCTCCCAGCCAGTGAGAACACCGTGAGTTCTGGGAGGAAGGAGAGCGCCGTGTGTCCTGGGAGGGGGAGGAGATGCTCGTCGGCGCCACTCACTGCTCTGCAGGTACTCCAGCAGACTGCCGTTCTTCATCAGCTCGGTGATGATGTAGATGGGCTCCTCCAGCGTGCAGACGGCGTACAGCTGGATGAGTTTCGCGTCTCGCAACTTCTTCATGATGGCCGCCTCAGCCAGGAAGTCCCTCGGGTCCATGGTGCCTAGCAAAAGCATGACGCTGGCTGTGAGGACTGGCGATGTATTGACGCTTTAGGGCGCGCCGACTTCAGAGGACGTCTTCCGGCCACCTTTGGACTGCTACACGGGCACACCGGGTCTGGAGTCGTGCGTTCCAATAAGCATGAGGCGGGCCTATCATACGATGCAGTGGCGGAGTCGCACGACACTCACCCAAAGTCACGTTAATAGTTAAAGTAATGTTCAGCTGCAAAACATCCAAGTGGTTCTTAAAAAGCATTACGCTGTATGATTAACTTGCTCAAGCCTCGAGGCTCGGGTTTAAGGGCCATCGAGACTCACGTTTATTTTTACATGAGCTGATAGCAAGCAGTGACCAGAGAAAAAACAGCATTCTCAGCAATGCTACCCACCAACAGCTGGACAGCTTATCTAACGACGTCGTGCATGTGACACAGGGCCAAAGAGGGCTGACAGAGGTGCGGAGAGGCGGCCGCTCTGGGCCGTGACCCCGTCCGGCAGCCACTCATCTGGCTTCAGGGTCTTTATGGTCATGGGGGTGGTGTTGTTCCAGAGGCCCTTCCACACCCACCCCTCTTTAAGCCGTGACCCCGTCCGGCGGCCACTCACCTGGCTTCAGGGTCTTGATGGCCACGGGCGTGGTGTTGTTCCAGAGGCCCTCCCACACCTCGCCGAACTGGCCCTGGCCCAGCTTGCGCACGAACTTGAGCGAAGTGCGGTCGATCTCCCAGTGGTCGCGCGTGTCGTGCGACAGGCCGGCCGTCACTGGCTTCTCGACCTGGACCGGGTCAGCGCAGAGCGACGTCAGAACACAGGCCGGACAGAACGGAGTCAGGACACAAACCGGGCAGAGCGGCATCAGAAAACAGGCCGGACGGAGTGGCCTCAAAACACAAACCGGGCAGAGTGGCGCCAGAACGCACGGCGGACAGGGCAGCGTCAGAACACAGGCCGGGCAGACAGTCAGACCATCGGGCACAGAGCGACAGGAGAACACGATGGTGGAGGCGCAGTCGGAGTATGACAGAGTGTCAGTCGGACTCAGAGCACAGACGGGACAGCGCGGACAGGGCGGGGACACTCTCTCACCTGGATGCAGGGCTTGCGAAGGTTGACGCAGAGTCCATCCGCGTCGCGGCTGTAGTGCTCCACCAGGTCAGGCAGCGTGCGGAAGGTGGTGCGGCGGGCGATGAAGAAGCCGCCCTCGTCCAGCTGTCGGATGCGGTAGTGCTTCACCGTGTCGCCGTCGCGCACCGACAGAGAGTAGTCGTTGCGGCGCGACTCAGAGTCGCGGATGAGGAAGGCGCCATGCTCGTTCTCTGGCAGCAGCAGCTTCTTCTCTGCCTCGATCCGCTTGATCTTGCCATTGTACCATCTGCAGACAGTGGTGATGATGGTAAACATTTGGGGTGATAGGTGGGATAGATGCTTGGATATATGCATGTGGCAAAGAACATTGTATTTTGATATTACGGCCTGCTGCAGAAGTGTGAAAGGTTCAAACAACTGATGGATGAGGCTTAGTTAAGACAACTCCACAGCAGAATTGACAGATGTCTGCACAATGCACAATGGCTGATTTAAGTCTACTAACCACATATATTTATTTGGATACTATCCAAAACATGAGACTTCTCTACTCTCACAGCAGTACCACTCACTGCAGAGGTGTCACTTTGTATGCTTGGGAGGGAGGGGGGGGGGGGGGGAATGTGCCTCCAATGCCCTTCTGAGCCCTCCTTCAATGTATGAGCAAAACATGAAATACTGGACCAACGAAATGCAGCAAGCCTTGTCCCAGCTGCTGGTACACAAGGACCCTAACAACATCATTATCATTATCACATTCACATCAGCTTCAAATGGGATGTCTTTCATCAATAACTTAAGTTCAGAACCAATAAAATACTATGTTATATCAATTTTAGCATAAGGACACAAATTCAGGTGGCCAAAATCTGGGAAGTAATCAAGATTTTGGGGTCAGAGAGGTCACCTTTATTGCTTCAGCACCCCCAAATCAATTTAAGATTGTGACATCCCTCAGTAACAGTAATCATATCATGATGTATTTGCAAGCAGACCATTATGTCTGCATACAAATATGCATGCATGCAGGCAAACACGACCAACAGAAGCAGAAAAACACAGTAAATGGCGCTGTCAGTACAAGCTAGAAATACTGTGTCTTACCTGCAAACATAACACAGAAAAGTTGAGGAATAATCATGAACATGTTAGACACATCTAATCCATGAATGATTTAACCAACAATGAAACTACCCAACATGCAATAGTCAAAAACCAAAACAACAACAATAATTTCAGCCTAGGTGACCTGAAAATAAAGAACTCTGCCTGATGAGCCACCACAGACTCATCTTAAGAAATCTCAACCAAGCTCTCATCTTGGGACCCATTTTTCACTCAAACAGTAGCTTGCAGACACTGAGAAGTTTGATGTAACAAGCTGCTGGACTACTGCAGCACCCACACTTAGGAAGTTCAGGCACGTAACACACATATTTACATTGAACACAATGTACCCATAAACAGCTAACACCAAAATCTCAGGATTCAGGTGAATTCTGACCAAATAGTAAAACATTCAATTTATTAGCCATCTAAGCTAGACCTTCAAATATTCCAGCTTTCAACATCATCAATATATGACTAGCATATACTTAACCCTATCACATAAGTCCTTTCCATGCAATGCACCTTCTATTAACCTTTTGATATAAAGGCATTGATGTTTTATCTGCAGCAGAGCATGCATAATTTTTTCAGTTCCATGACAGGATGAAAGATTGCAACCAAAGTCTTAAATCTCATAGGTTGTGTGCATAAATTCATTCTCAATATGCCTCACTGGGTACAAGACACTAATTATTTCCTTTAATGATGAACCCAGCTGTTACTGGAATAAAAAATACAAATAAAAAATGTTCTGATAAAACTGACCCCCATCCTAAACCCTAAACACCACTTTACAAGTGAAAGAGATACAGAATACTTACGGCTCTGCTTCAATGGACTTCAATTTTGCGACATAGTTAGATGGGATGTAGCCTGCTTGATATGTTGTTCTGCTCTTGGCATACCACCAATCTCCCTGAGTATCATTCAATATTTCCAGATGATCCCCTTTCTTGAAACTCAAATCTTCAGTTGTTCTTGCATCATAGTCATACAAAGCAACAAAAACCTTAGCATTGCTTGCTGTAGCAAGTGTGCTATCTGGTACAGATGGCAATGGTGGCCCATTCAAACGTGATTCTACTAAATACCTCCCACCAGCATCACTTGGTTGTTGTGCTAACTGACTATTTGCTGTTGATTGCTGATTGGGGACATCAAGGGCAGTGTGAAAAGCATGACGATCAGCTGGCGCTGATCCAGAGACCAAGTCTCTCTTCACATCCCTCTTGTCTTTGCTAAAGCAGCTGCCCATCTCCCATTAGTGTCCAGACCATTTAAACACAAATGCACCCACCAGACGGCAACAGCCCCTCTTCGAAGCTAATGATGGGATTAACCACCACCTACAAGCCAGTGGCAGTGGTCCTTGATCAACCAAACTGGGACTTTGGCAGACCGTTCCTGTTCCACAAAGCACCTCTTCTCCCTGCACAGTTCCACCAGCCACTCCCACACCGCGTTCACTCAACGCAGAACTGACACTCGGGCGGAATTTTCTTGCATATCAGAAAATACGATCCCATTGGGTACTTTCACAGAAACACAATTCGCCGCAGTGGTTTCTAAGGATTTGGGGGCTGAGGAAGCGAAGGCGTCTGATCGTAGTAGAATGCTGTCCGTGACGTCAGAAAATTGCATGACAGCCTTCCGGGCCAGGGGCGGTACCAGCGAGTCGTAGTAGAGTTGTTGTGCTTTAATATTTATGACGTCAAGAAGATTTCTTCAGAAGTCTGAGTGGTTTTTTGAAAGAGTTTCTAATTGCTACAACTTCATTAATTCACGAGATATTATTTTAATAAATAAGGTTTTGTTGCGTACCTTAAACACCGATAAGATACGACAACGATACAAATTGATAAGTTTGGTAGTGTATACTACATGACGACGCCTATGTCGGATATCAGTGAAATCTACTACTACGGCTGTGATCAACTCGAGAGGTGAACAACAGCTGGCAGCAAGGCAGTGATCAGGTGTACTAAATTACGAGTGTTTGAAAATACCGTAGCATTCCGCACATATTTGTACCGGGCAGCGCTACAAGATTATCGAAGAGTAACAGATGCGTCTTTCATGGGCTATGTAACGGGTACGGGGTCCTCTGGAAAGCAAATTGGTGTTCTTAGAAACAATAGTTTATCATGCCAAAAGGCCTTGGCAAATGGTACTTATGCAACGCACGTCGACATATATATGGTGGCTGTGTGTGTGTGTGTGTGTGTGTGTGTGTGTGTGTGTGTGTGTGTGTGTGTGTGTGTGTGTGTGTGTGTGTGTGTGTGTGTGTGTGTGTGTGTGTGTGCGCGCGCGCGCGCACACACACACACACAAACACTTACAAACTAGGCTGGCACTTACAAACGCGCGCGCGCGCGCGCGCGTTTGTAAGTGCCAGCCTAACGATTCCGAAGTGTGAATACACACCCGCATGGCAGTACCGAATTGCTCGGAAGTACCGAAATTCCAGTATTGTTAAGCTTTTTCGTGAAAAGTGTTCAAAGCGCTCCGAAGAAGTTTTAGATTGTTTTCGAGGTCGGAACTGGTAGGATGGTTTTTCGACGGTGCGTTAACTAGCTGTGTTTGCGAGTCAGAAGACCGCCTTTTCCGCACGCACACTCCTTCACGGTGGCGGTGCCTGGCGACCGCCGCCTCTCCCCCGCCACCCCGCTCGGTAATTGCCGCGGTGGTCAAGAGGAGACTGGCCACCATTGTGAGATCTGATCCAGATCCTTCGGATCCTTTTGGATGAGATCCTTTGGGAAAAGCTGCTGGGCCTTGCAGGTGGGCGCGAGACCGCTGGCCGTGCCCTAGGAATGCTTGTGACTGAGCAGTCCGGCATCGAATACTTTGCAGACTGCCAACAGCCTGCTCAAGGTGCATGCACCTTCAGTGCGTGTTGCGGGACACGTCGCGGGATGCATACAACTTATGGCAATGGGTGTACTTTGCAGTCTGGTTTGACTTCGTACCTCAGAAATTGAGTTTGATCCATCAAGCCAGGTCTTTGCAGCATTGCGTGCGACTGGTCGTGTCCTGCATTTGCTTTGCGGAAGCTGCCGCTCTATTTCGCATAGATCTTCCTACGCTCTTTTTATTCGAACATGTGCCTTTCCAAGAGCTGGAATTTTAGTATCATATCAATGCCATATTTTTGCATTATTTTTGTATTGTTTTAGTGCCATATCCGAATTTATGATAGCTGCAGCATTATCATACCATTATCTTAGTCAGCGTCCAGAAGTCGAGTGCGTTATCAGGCGCCTCCAAACTGGTATGCATGAAAGTACTAGCAAAGCTGCCCTCGCACGCCAGAAGTAGCCGCGATCTAACGCGGTCGGCGTCAGTGAAATGCAGACAGGGGGACGCGGCCCCGGCCGCATCGCGGCACACCCCGCGGCACGCCGCGCGCAAAAGGCGCCCTCCCTCGTGTGGCCGGCGGGTCGGCCGGACCCCGACCGGCGAGTCGGACGGCTCCAAGGCGCAGGACCTCACGATACCTTTAGCGTTTGCACCTGAGAAACGATCTGCTTGCTAGTTCGCACAGCTGGCTTCACAATGTTGTACAATGTACACAGTTTCACATGTGTTTTACATAAACCGTTAGATTCATGGGCATGTGGGCTCTCCTATGCAGATTGCATATCCATTACCTGCGTGAAATCCGTTTCCACGTTAAGTTGAATGACCGAAAAGTTTTAAAAAGTTGAAAGTGTTTCTAGGAGGTTCTAATATGCACTTAACACTGACAAAAAAACGGTTTCCATGCAATTTCACCAGTGCGCATAAGCAGACCTTTTGTATCCAGCTAAGATTATTTGCATGTCAAACAAGCCTTTTAATCATGTCAGAGACCCTACTCATACTAGTAGCATTTGTAGTTTGGGAGGTGTTTCACGGAAACTGTCATTAATTGGTTGCAAATCCATTGAAGCTGTGTGCGTGTGTGTGGGTGTTATGAATGATTACTCGACATTTAACTCATTAAGACGTGTTTTGGCAACAGCAATGGCGTGTTACGCTCATACAAGTCAGGCCCTACAAATAATTCCATTGTGAAAGCATAACACTTCGGCATGCAGACAATCACCTGGAAGCAATGCCTTTGAACCGAATCTTACCAACAGCTAATTTCTCACCCTGGTATGTTTGTATAACTATACAAGCTAGCATTTGCATGAATTGGTGTTGAAAGCTCCTGTTCTTAAGGTTGTTTAGCTTTTTTTTTGCATGGCAGTTTCTACTACCAGATTTCGATTGGTCTCGGGCGGGGCGATGCATCTCATCTCGGGTATAACATGTAGGTTGCGGTACGTCGGGATGTACGCATCAAGTGTGTTTTTTCGATGCCTTGACGTCATGTTCGTTGGAAAGATTCTAAGCAGGCGACTGTCTTCGTCTTCTGGCTAAATATGTCTGATGGATTGGAAGACCAGTTTGCATTTGCAGACCAGTCATATTCTTATTTATATTCAAACCCAGACCCCTTTCATTTTGCTCGAAGTCATTGGAGCTTTATGATGCACTAACGATGGGTGTGATCAGCGAGTTTTATTAAATCCGTCAATGCTAATATTTGACATGCTGATTACGGCATTATAACCCATTTTCAGCCGCATTCAATTTTAGGACTTCCAGAGATCAGCAAAGTGTTTGGTTATCAAGCCCGGACCCTAACGATGTTATTTAAGTCGATACCACTGGTAGCTTTTAGCGTACCGATTTCCCTTCACGCCACATAAAAAATTAAGTTGAATTAAGTTAATTAAGTTGGAAAAATTACAGACAGGGACCAGGGGCGCAGCTAGAGCATTGGCAAGGGAGGAGCACATGGTCAACAAGGGGCCCGCAAAAAATCACCGGATATGACCCATCTCTTAATGAGGGCATGTTTTCTAAGATATCATATAAACATATTTACATATGTATATATGTATATATATATACATATATATATATATATATATATATATATATATATATATATATATACACTACGAGGCACATTTCTGCTCCGGTGAAGGGTTGACGGGCCATTCTGTCCCACCGCGGTGTGTCGCCCGGCCGTCATGCTGGCTACACGGGGCGGCATCCCCTGGTCGACGGGAGGTCCTTAAAGTGATGCATCATGTCAGATTGGTCCGCTCCCTGACGCGGGAGGCCTTCTGACCCGCGTCGCTGACCCCTGACCGACACAGGAGTTTCTCACCGTCTCAGCGACCCCGAGCATTGCAAATAGCGGGCCCCGGCCTCATTTTTGCTTAATAAGTGGGTCTCAAGGGCTCAGACGGACATGGAGCCGACTGTTCGGCCCAGTGTCGAAGCCCCAAAAATAGGGATACAGAACCTTGGCAAGAGGAGCCTAATGGAAGCCCTCTGACTGACGTTTCAGGTTATGGCACTACGGGTGGGGGCCGGGTCCGAGTCCAATCGTGCCGTTGATCTTGGGTCCCGCGGGGTCCTCCGGTCCCTGTCCAAACCTCATCAAACAAAGCCCGTGATCGACTGGGGACCACTAGCAGAGACATATCCCCTTGTCATGCACTGTGGGCCCCTGGCCGACAAAGGGGCCCAACCACTGTTTCAGAGACCCAGACCAATGCCAATCGTGGCCCCTTATCTTGCTCCTGTTTGGCAAATGGGCCCCCAAGGTTCAGGATGACAGGGGGCCATCTGTTCGGTGTACGCGGTCTCTGGACGCGTTGGACATCCACATTGTCTCAGGGGGTCCTTAGCGATGCAAGAGGACCTCTGACCGATATTTCAGGTCATCACCCTACGTACCACGATTCCTTATGTGACCTGCAGCTAAACTTGTGGGCCATTATGCCCTTCAGCCGGGCCTTTGATAGTCTGTTTTGTTGGGCCACCCCGGTCCCTCTTCGGGCCTCATCGAGTACTGACCTTGGTCACTTCGGGCCCATTGCGATTATAGGGCCCTCTGTTAGGTACTGGGTGCTACTGATAGATACAGGTGCACCGACCAGTGTAAATCACTGGTCCCAGCTTTGTAGCTGATTGGGAAATGGGCCCTCAGGCCTACTTCCCACAGTCCGCTCCAATACCAATACGGAGCGGACTGTGCAGCGCTGGCCTGGCCTGACCGACATATAGACATATATCGACTCAGGATGTCCCTGATCGGTACGAAGGGCTCTCTGACTGTCATTCGAGGGTCAGTCCCCGCAGGCCGGCACCCCTGAATAACACACCGACCAGTCTTTCGTACTCTTAGACCTTCCAATCAAGTCCTTGATCATCGGACCCGGTGGGTCCTCCAGGCTCTTCGGGACTCCTCCAACATTGCCTCTGACCGATTTGGGGCCCTTTGCCAGCACAGGGTCCCTGTTAGGCGTTAGGGGCCGCGACCAATATAAATCGTCGGCTCCGCTTTTTTCCCCTGCTTGAGAAATGGGCACTGAGGCCCATGCCGCCGCGGAGCCGAATGTGCATTTCTGATGGTGTTTGATCCGACATATAGCCTGTTACCTACTCAGGGTGCCCTGGTCCGTGCGGGACCCTCTGACTGGCATTGAAGTGCCCGGACCTCCGGCTGGC